GTCAATGGTTACTAGCTATGATGGCTACGCTCTGCTTCCGCCTTCAGAGACTGTTCTGAAAACCACTTGTTCAAAACCACAAGAGGGGAGAGTGTTCTGGTGTTCAGGTCCAGGGGCAGACCTTATATGAAACTAATGAAGTTTAAGATTCAGGGACCCTAATCCCAGAGTGGCCCCAGAAGTGACTTTAATCCACATTGCTTTTTTTTAAAAAAAATGGGTCTAGTACTGTAGAAGCAATCTGAGTCACACAGCTCAAATCGATTAACTTTTTGTCAAAAACTCAGCAGTACAAATGTTATGACGTAAACAACCCCCTTGAAGAAGATAACAGTGGTTACCCAGATCTCATTGCTGGTTAATAATAATAATAATAATAATAATAATAATAATAATATGCCACCCATCTGACTGGGTTGCCCCAGCCACTCTGGGCAGCTTCAAACAAATTAAAATATCAAACACAGTAAATCATCAAACATTAAAAACTTCCCTATACAGTCGTGCCTTTGCAGTCGAATGTTTGGGCTCCCAAACACCGCAAACCTGGAAATGAGTGTTCCGGTTTGTGAACATTCTTTTGGAAGCCGAACATCCGGCAGTGCCTCCATGGTTTTGGATTGGCTGCAGGAAGCTCCTTAACAATTGTTAAGGGGTTCCCATAACTGTTCAAGCTTTAGGGCCCTAAAAATTTAGGTTCACCACTGCTCATGTCCTAAGGGGTTTTCCCCAAGCATCTGGGCACTCACTGTGAGAACAGGTAAAAAAGGTAAAGGTAAAGAACCCCTGGGTGGTTAAGTCCAGTCAACGGCAACTATGGGGTTGCGGTGCTCATTTCACTTTCAGGCTGAGGGAGCTGGCATTTGTCCACAGACAGCTTTCTTGGTCATGTGGCCAGCAGGACTAAACCACTTCTGGTGCAATGGAACACCGTGACAGAAGCCAGAGAGCACAGAAACGCTGTTTACCTTCCCACCACAGTGATACCTATTTATCTACTTACACTGGTGTACTTTCGAACTGCTGGGTCGGCATGCGCAGGACAGAGCAACAGGAGCTCAATCCGTCGCAGGGATTTGAACCGCTGACCTTCCGATCAGCAAGCACAAAGGGCTCAGTGGTTTAGACCACATGGCATGGCGTTCCTTCTGAGAACAGGATGCTGGGCTAGATGGGCCACTGGCTGATGCAGAAGGCTCATCTCCTGTTCTTATGTGGCCCCATTCTGGCACTGGATATGTAGCCATTGTGACTAGTAGCCACTGACAGCCACCTTCCCATTGGGACACCATCTGATCTGGGGCCACACCTGCAAAGCATAAGCAAAACAATTTGGTAAGTGTAATGACCCTAATCTCATTCCAGAGAGCCCAGAGAGGAGGAGGAGGAGGAGAAGGAGGACTCTTCTCTTCCTAACAGTCAATTGTTCTCACCAGCCAGCACTTTTTCACTCAGGTCCGTCTGAAGTATAATCACAAAAGAATCTGGTTTTACTTGCCCAACAACAGACATAGTAAACCTGTCATAAAAAGGAAATGTGAAGGACCAGCAGTCATCATAAGCCAACCTGCCCTCAACTGGAAGGTTATAAGAGACTTGGGAGTCCAGTGACTCATAATGCACATGGGGGGACTGGCCTCCATGCTACTGGGACCAGGAAGTTAAAACTGCTTCCTGAGTTTCTCTGCGAGCCCTTTGAGACAAATACAGTCCTTCATTCAGCAAGAAGTTACAGAGGAGGCCACTGGCTGTTTGCTGGACTGCTGGTGGAGTCACAGCCATTCCTGTTTCAAGGAACTTGTTTGTGAGTACCTGGTGGGAATCGTGCCCCTGTAACTTTCGTTTTGCTTGTAGGGGTGGTGAACTCACCAGGGGCTAAGTAGCAGAAGGAGGTGAGGAAAAGAGTAGGGGAAAAAATACCTGGAAAACACACGGACTATATGGAGCTGTCTGCTAGCTCTTTGATCTTCATGTCCTACCAGAGATTGGTCTTACTTATGTGTAAACGTTTTTATATTCCACCTTCTCACAAGGCATCAGGGCACCACACAGCAAAATTACTGGGTTTTTCTTGTTTTTGTTTTGTATTTTGTGTTTTATCATGTGTTTTTATCTTGTGAACTGCCCTGATACCTATGGGTATAGGCCGGTATACAAATTTTAGTGAGGATTATGATGATGGTGATGATGATGATAAGCTTTTAAGCTGACTGTCTACTCAAGATCATTTTAAACAAGTGTGTAGGCCTGTTGGCATTAAACAGTCTTCAAGAGAGACCTGGAAGTCAAAAGTGAGGGTGCCTGTCATATCTCTGCTGCTAGAAACTTAGGGGACCAGAACCATTAAGGTTGTGTACACATTACTGGCCTAAAACGCAGCTGGGTCATTCTTTTTCTCTATTTGGAATAAAGCTGATTTGAGGGGGAAACACATCAAAATGCAGCATTTCCTAAGAAATGAAAGGATACATAGAGGAAGGGCCTTTTTTCAGTCGGAGCTCACCGGAGCTCAGTTCTGGCACCACTTAGGTGGGCGCCATTGCCATTCTAAGAGAACGAGAGAGAAGTTCATGGTGAGCTCTGGCACCTCTTTCTCTAGAAAACTAACAACAACAATAATAATAACAATTTTTATTTATACCCCGCCCTCCCCAGCCAAGGCCGGGCTCAGGGCGGCTAACAAGCAATAATAAAAACAAATTGAATGAATACAACTTAAAAACAAAATTAAAATACAACATTAAAACAGGGTAGATATGGATTGTGCCTAACGTCGTGTTTACACTGCATCCCAAACCAGCACCCAAACCCCTTTCCCAGCCCAAATTTGACAACTGTGATTACGAGGGTGAGCCACTAGATGGTGTTTCTTGCAACTCCATTTTGAAATTGTCAATGAGCAGAAGGCTCACTTGATCCCCCGGTTGGGGTCTTGTTTCCTTTGCTTATTCAGTTTTGCGCCAGGGTTGCAGTCCTCCCCATGCTCCACCCACAGCTTTGTCAACTGCTGTAGAAAACTCAGATAAAGGAAAATGCCTTTCTGTAAAAGAGTAAAAAGAAAAGTAAATAACCCCTGGATGGTTAATTCCAGTCAAATTAGACTATGGGGTGTGGCACTCCTCTCTGCTTTCAGATGTCAAGGCAGCCAGCATTTGTCCACAGACAGCTTTTCCAGGTCATGTAGCTAGCATGACTAAATCACTTCCAGCTCACAGGACTCCATTATGAGTGCCAGAGTGCATGGAAACGAGATTTACCTTCCCACCACAGCAGTACCTGTTTATCTACTTGCACTGGTATGCTTTTGACTACTAGGTTGGCAAGAGCTGGGACGGGGAGCTCACTCCGCCAAGCGGTTAGCGGATTCGAACTGATAACTTTACAATTGGCAAGCCCAAGAAACTCAGTGGTTTACACCATGGTGCCACCCACGTACCCATTAAAAGAGTAATGGATAGGGCTGATCGCCTTGATAATGTTCGCAGTATAGGCTCTGAGTTTGCGTTTGGGTAACCCTGGTTAAAGGTGATGAATGATGACACCAAGCAGCTGTTGGGGAGGGGAAGCAGAAGCTGGATTTAGTTTGCCCAGTTTCTCCCTCTTTCTCCAAACAACTCCAGGGAACTTTTACTCATATTCTAATAGTGATTGTGCACAGGAAGTCAAGTCCTGGGGAAATATGCAAGGAGTCCATCCTCTTGTCATTCTTCAGCTGACCAAAATCATGAAGGGTTGTTTTTAAGTGGTTGACCTAATTAAGTAACCACTTGCATGGCCGTCCCTTTACATATTGAAACAGGCCATTGTTTTGTGGAACCTGTATAGCAAGTTTCCCTTAAGCAAGAGAGCAGTTGGGATTTCTTAAAGCACAGCAGGTGCCCCCTGCCCCATACCCTACTTAAAGGGAAGAAGTCCACCTTTAAGATTTCCACTGCATTTTTGAAACAAATAATGCACCAGGCAGGGCTATGTAGAAACAGGGTCAGCCAGCCCAAGAGACAGTCTGAAGCAGCTGCCTCAAGCGGCAGAATCCCACGAGGCAGTGCCCCCATGGAAACCCCACCTCACCTGCCACTGGAGATCTCACGGAAATCCACTGCCGCTGCACAACTCTGGTAAGCCGAGCTTCCACTGAGAAGGGGCAGCGCCTTCTCATTTTGCCTCAGGCAGCGAAGCAGGACAGGCTGCCCCTGTTTGTGTGTCTCGAGAAAAAGGCAACATTTGGTCCTGGAGGCAGTAATCAACATCATGAGAATCTCTGCTTTAAAAACTCAGGGCAAGTTTCTAGCCCTTATGGCTGAGTCAGAATGCGTCAAAGTGCATGGTCAACTTGGGCTGAAATCTGGACGTGGCAAGGTTGACTCAACATTTCCAGCAATCAGGGGACAGAGATCAGTGTCCTGAGGAACTACTATCCCCTAACAAAATCAGAAATGTGCAAAATAATATGAATCACATGATAAGATGAATGGAAGCGTATTTACATAGCTTCTGTTAATTTGCATAATTCACACAGCTCTCAGAATTCAGGTTATTTGGTGTGGAATTTTTGGGCAATGTGGGCCATCTGCTCACACAAGGCGCTGATATGACTGGGATGAACTCTGTGTTTTTCCTGCCTGAGCTCTACATTCTTTTGCTTGCACAAATGACCAGGGTTTGTTTCACAGGGCCAGTGACTTTCCAGATTTTAAAGCTAGGCTTTAAAAATAAAATAAAGGCAGAATAAAGTTTAACCATGCCAAAGCCTGCAGCTAGGGATGCCACAAATATCTGTGATTTTCCACGCCCACCATCATAGCTGCTTATTTGCTATTGCAAATACAGTGTCCTGAACAGGCAATGGCAGGTTTCAGCATTCAGAATATTATTGTTGCAATCATAGGAATGTCTGAAACTACTGTGTACCAAATCAATCCATCTAGCTCAATATTATCTGCATTGACAGGCAGTAGCTTCCCAGGGTTTCCCCCCAGGCAGGGGTCTCTCCCAGCCCTCCCTGGAGATGCCAGGGATTGAATCTGAGACCTTTAGCAGGCAAAGCAGATGCCCTACCACTGAGCTACAGCCCTTCCCTAAAGACATAAGAACATAGGAAGCTGCCTTATAAACTGAGTCAAGCTATTGGTCAATCCCAAAATTTGAAAGTTCGTCCGAGGTCACAATCGGAAATCATGCAAGCCAATATGCTTGGTATTCACTGTCATTGTTCTTGGTCTCTGAACTTTACACAAATAATTATTTTCTGCACTGCTTCTGACATTTCCCCCATCAATTGAAATTAATCTTGAAATTAATTACAGTGGTACCTCGGGTTACATACGCTTCAGGTTACAGACTCCGCTAACTCAGAAATAGTACCTCGGGTTAAGAACTTTGCTTCAGGATGAGAACAGAAATCGTGCTCCAGCGGCGCGGCAGCAGCAGGAGGCCCCATTAACTAAAGTGGAACTTCAGGTTAAGAACAGTTTCAGGTTAAGAACAAACCTCCGGAATGAATTAAGTACTTAACCCAAGGTACCACTGTACATAAGTTTCAACAATGGCAGATAGTGAGATGCGTAATGTTGATTCTAGCAGAAGCCGAACTGTAGCAGAGTGGAAACAGCGCTGATTGCAATGAAACCGCAACGGGACAGAAGTCGTCAGCTCCTTAAGTCCCCAGTTGTAACTGACTTAATCCATACCTTTCTCTCCCCACTCTTTTTTGGCTACAAGATTATGATCGTCATCATTCTGCAAGTGATCTGCAGCCTTGTGGTCTGGCTGTCGCTCTATGGCGGCTTCTTGTACCGGAACAAGCATCGCAGCCCCGAATGGAGCTGCCGGCTGGTCACCCTTTTGCATGGGCTAATTGTCACCTTCTTCTCCGGCTACATCGCTTTGATTGACGGACCCTGGCCTTTGACTCATGCAGGTACGCAGAGATGATTCATCCTCAAGGGGGTTGGCAGAGGTAACAGGGGGTCAAGTGTGGGTGAAGTTGCTCTGCTCACCCACCATGGCTAAATCTCTGCCTGCTGTGCCATCCCCATCCCCAAAGCACAGCTCCGCTGTGACATTATTCATCCACCCATTCATTTCATTTACATCTCATCTTTCCTCCAAGGAGCTCAAAGTGGCATACACAGTTCTCCACCTCTGCATTTTATCCTCCCAACAACCCTTTGAGTGGTATGTTAGGCTGAGAGACTGTGACTGGCCCAAGAACGGCCTGTGAGCTTCATGGATGAGCAGGAATGAAGGAATGAATGATTGAATAAATGATCTCCTGGGTCCTAGTCCAACCCTCTAAACACTAGCTTCATGGATGAGCAGGAATGAAAGAATGAATGAATGAATGAATGAATGAATGAATGAATGATCTCCTAGGTCCTAGTCCAACCCTCTAACCACTACACCATTGGCTGAGAGTATGATTTGCAGCCCTGATTGCTCCTAGAGATCTGAATGCCTAGAAAAAAAACATCCCAGGAGAAATAGGGTGGAGAATTCCATTTCCCTGCCATTTTTCCAGTTTCTCCCCCAACTTCTTTTATTATGAACTTAGAGAAAATTGGGGTATTGGGCATTTTTTTAATTTGGTTTTTCTGCGGGGGGGGGGGTAGGAGGCATTCACATCTCTATTGTTCATTGAGTACAAATAATGCCATGTAGCACTTATATAAAGCGCTTTGGGGTGTTCAAAGAGCTTCACTTGTAACTTGTACAGTGACCCCGAAAGGTAGGTCTGTATCATCATCCTCATTTTATATCCGGGAGAAGCTGAGCTGCAGTTCAGTGCTGGAGCATCTGCTATGCACAGAAATGGCCCCAGATTTAATCCCCAGTGGCATCGCTGGGTAGGGCTGGGAATGTGCCCCTGCCCAGGACCCTGGAGACAATACTGAGCCACATGGATGAACAGTCTGACTCGGAATAAGTCATTCTCTGCATTGAGAGCAGTGGCTTGGCTAAGACATTCAAACTAGCATCTTCCTGTTTTGTAGCTCAGACCCTTGACTCCCATTTGTCCTTGCTTCCCCTAACCCAGGTTCCCACCATTCTGATCTCCACCTGATGTCTTATTCCTGCACTTTATCGTCTACTCCCGGCTCCATCCACTTCGCCGCTTCCATTCCAGCCTCGCCTTCCGTCCAGCTCACTTGAGTCTTCTTGCCTCGCTCCTCTACCCTGCCATAATTGTTCTTTCCTCTGGTAGACATAAACTTCCCAGTTTTGCCCTTCTGTCCCGGATCAGCCGATTGAAGGAGAACAGGAGACCACATTCCTAGACAACAGCTTTCTGCAACCTGGTAGCCTCCTCCAGCTCATTTGGGCTATAACTCCCATCAGCACCAGCCAGCGTGACTGTGCCAACTTGGACTGGTGAGAGTTGTAGTCCAAAACATCTGGAAGGCCCCCGGTCGTGGAGAGCTGATGGCCTGGGAGGAAACTTCATTGAACTTGCTGGGCCTTACTTCTGAGTAGAAGTGCCAAAGAATGGCCTGTAAATTCTGCAAAATGAACAAATGCATTACCCCATTTATAGTTGCAGATTGAGGCATTCCCACCCACCCACCCCCTGAAGAATTTCTGCTTCCTACAACTCTCAGCTTTTGTTGCTGAGTTTTTATCTACCTCTTCTTCTTTTTAACAGCAAGATTCTAGTCCTTTTGAAATGATGTTTGAAATTATATAAATAACGTCTCCATAGAATGTGGGTTTGATCAGTGCAGATGTTTTCCCCTTATTTGTTTCAAGCAGAGAGTCCATGTTGCTGGATAGGGTCCATTATTTCATCCTCTGTGCCCACAGTGATTCTCTACACTCCCTTACACAGCTAAAAATGTACACTGGATTTATTTTGAACTATGACTTGCTAGCGCTCATCTTCAGAACTTGTCACAAGTGCTAGAATATGGGAGCAAATGAAAAAAGAAAGTACCTCTGGCCATGTGCAGAGGGTCCCATCTTAGCACTGAGCCCCTCCACTTCTCTGAATATCTGGGAAAAGGGGGTCAGAGTTTCTAGGTTGGAAACCTTGATATACAGGTAAACTGTAACCTTCTAACATCTTCCTTTAAAAACAAAACATTATTATGCCCCTGCTTTTACTTTTTCAGTCATTCATTGCACTTTATACATTAATTGCATGTCATTCCCAATCTCTCTCTTTTTCGCTCACAATAATCCTATGAGGTAGGTCAGACTGAGTGATAATGACTGACCCAAGATTGAGCTAAGCAGGGATCTGAATGTGGGTCTCTGCCGAAATCCAGCAAACTGCTTGCTACCCTGCAAGGCCACTGGTTATGCAGATTGATTACCATAATGCCTGCATTGTCTGGGAACAAATCAGACTTGCCCTGTAATGACATCACAATCTCTGCAATTTCCGAAGCGTGGGTCCTGATGGCAGTTCCTAAGATGCCTCAGGAAAGGTCAGCTGTTATCTGAGACCTCCAGTTTATTTTTGCTGGAGGTTCAGTGGCCAAAAAAAGGGTGAATTGCTAGCCTCAGAAATTATTATTATTATTAAGACCGACAGACAGACAGAAAGACTGATAGGTAGATAATAAGCAAGTGCAACAGTGCCCAAGAACCTTATGCAGTATTATACCCCCATTGTTCAGCCAAGACACTGAGGTCCAGCTCCAAGGGCCTTCTGGCAGTTCCCTCACTGCGAGAAGTGAAACTACAAGAAACCAGGCAGAGGGTCTTCTGGGTAGTGGCACCCGTCCTGTGGAACACCCTCCCATCAGATGTCAAGGAAATAAACAACTATCTGACTTTTAGAAGACATCTGAAGGCAGCCCTGTTTAGGGAAGTTTTAAAAGTTTGATTTATTATTATTATTATTATTATTATTATTATTATTCTGTTGGGAGCCACCCAGAGTGGCTGGAGAAACCCAGAGTGGCTGGAGATGGGCAGGATATAAATAACAAATTATTATTATTATTGTTAGTAGTAGTAGTAGTAGTAGTAGTAGTAGTAGTAGTATATAGATATAATATCCTTGGTGGTGGTTGCAATTACTTATTAGTCCTGAGCATGTTAGTGCACACTGCCAACATGATTTCAAGCTTTCACCCATAACAATGAGGACTAGAACTTTAACAGTGACCCCCAAATGGTGGAGCTTCCGGTACCCTGCTGTCAAATGACCCACCATCTTTTGCCACTTTCCTTCTTTGCCCTTGCCTTTCGCTCCTCTGTTTCCCTTGGAACAAATTCACGCCTGCCACTCTGAATGTCATCTCCCCTTGCTGTGTCCTCGCAAGCCCTTGCTTGCATTTAGTTCAGCTCCTGATCGCCAGGATTAGGTCTTTATAACTGTTTCACGAGGCACCTGTCGTCCTTGTGGGAGTATCTAAAAATTCCTCAGAGCAGGCTCTTACTCTAAGCCATTTGGCCGAATGACATCTGAGCTACTGACACCAGCTGCAAATCCCTTTTTCTCCACTTGTGTAATTACTGCTGGGGTGATCAGGGGGCCCAGGGCACCATCTGGGCAAAGGCACAAAATGGGCATCAAATATACTACAGTGGTACCTCAGAAGTCGAACAGAATCTGTTCTGGAAGTCCATTCAACTTCCAAGACATTTGGAAACCAAGGTGCGGCTTCTGATTGGCTGCAGGAAGTTCCTGCAGCCAATCAGAAGCTGTGGAAGCCCCGTCGGACGTTCGAGCTCCAAAGAACGTTCACAAACCAGAACACTCACTTCCAGGGTTGCGGCGTTCTGGAGCCAAAATGTTTGACTCGCAAGGCATTTGGGATCCACGGTACGACTGTATTGTATAATAATGTTAACTGTGTTGATTTTTGAGTGTAGCATAACCAGGCATGCTTTTGTAGCTGATGAAAAACCAGACATCAGCTTATTCCAAGGCTTAGTATGAGCAGCAGGCCAAGCCAGAAGGGCAATGATTCAGGTTCTTATTAGTTTCTGCCTACGGTGCAATGCTGAAAGCTGCCAAGGCTGTAGTGGGGAATTAAATGAAGGGCGTGCAGCATCAGGAGCACCAGCAGACTTCCTGCAGAAGAGCTTCCAGGCAGGAGCAGTCTATCTGAGTAATGAGAATTCTCAGTTTCAGTGGCCTTGAAAACCCACAGCCATTTTTTATTTGCCCCAATGCCACTTCACAGGAACTTAGGAAACTGCCTCCCACATATCTTTTGGTCCATCCTGTATTGTCTATTCTGATTGGCAGCAGCTCTCTAAGAATTCAGACTCAGACTTGTTCTGGGAATAGTTATGGAGCATCTCACAGAACCAAGGCTTGAGTTTTGCATGCATGCAACACACACACACACACACACACTTCAAAACCAGATTTCCTGTTTTAGAATCTGACCTTTGGATGCATAAACATGCTATTTGATATCATTCCCAAATACTCTTTTCAGGGAAAGTTTCTCTTTTGAGAACTTGCTCAAATTTTGGTGATGGAGAGGATTGAGTTCAAAAAAGCAGGGGAATAGGTCTGGGACATCAAATGGCAAAAGCATTGGATTTTCAGTGTGTAAAATGTGTTTTTTGTTACAGTCGTACCTCAGAAGTCGAACAGAATTTGTTCCAGAAATCTGTTCAACTTCCAAAATGTCCAGAAACCAAAGCTCGGCTTCTGATTGGCTGTAGGAAGCCTGTCGGCCGTTTGGCTTCCAAAGAACGTTCGCAAACCGGAACACTTACTTCTGGGTTTGCAGCGTTTGGGAGGCAAAATGTCTGAGTACCAAGGTACAACTGTATTTTAAAGAGCAGTTTTGAAACCTATAAGGTGCAAGGGTCATCATTTCAAGCAACATTAGATTTGCACCCTATGGTCCCTTCCAACTCTGCAATTCTGAGATTCTAGGATGGCAAACTCAGTCAACCCTTTTTTCCTCATCTTTCCAGGCTACCCCAACACGGCTCTCCAGGTCTGCCTGATGTGCTTGTCGCTGGGATACTTCCTCTTCGACTTGAGCTGGTGCATTTATTTCCAGAGCGAGGGCAACCTGATGCTTTCCCACCACATGCTCAGCGTCAGCGGCCTGGCTTTCGTGCTGATGATTGGCAAGTCTGCCACGGAGATCAATGCCGTCGTCTTCGTGAGCGAGATCACCAACCCTCTGCTGCAGCTACGCTGGTTCCTACGGGAGATGGGGAGCTATCACAACCTCCTCGGGGATGTGGTGGATTACCTTTTCGTATTTCTCTTCCTGGGGCTGCGCATCGCCGGCGGAGCATGGATTGTACAGTCGGTGATGACTTCGCCCAACACCATCTGGATGCTGAGGGGTGGCGTCCTGGCCATGTATGTGGTGTCCTGGGCATTTATGCTGGATATCCTCAGTTTTGCCAGGAGGAAAACAACGAAGAAATATTTTGCTTGGAAGAATGAAAAAATGAAAGGGAAGTTTCCCAAGGAAAACGGACATCTGCCGAAATGCTGACTTTGACTTCCCAGTGGGCTGTTGTGCAATAATCGAGCAATAAGCAAACGGAACCTGGATAGCTCAGTTGGTTAGAGCGTGGTGCCCATAACGCCCAGGTTGCAGGTTCGATCCCCGTATGGGACAGCTGCATTGCAGGGGATTGGACTAAATGACCCTCGGGGTCCCACCCAACTCTACAATTCTATGCTCTTATGAAGTAGGAAGCATCTTTGATGGACAGGAAACTGTCAAGGTGCTTCACATAAGAAAAACTGGATTGGGAGGAACCAAGGAACTGCTGACCTCCAGAGCTCGTTCCAAAGATGAGGGATCTTTGGGGCCAGACATGAATCATGGTTGGAAAGATAGCTGGATATTCACCTCGAAGGAAACTGGGCAGAAAATGCCAGTGCTGGAGGAAGGACTAAACCACAAAGCCTGCAGGCAAGTGGAGGCTGGCCTGTAGGGGAAACAGGGCATTCCTCAATCTGACCTCAGCCAGCCCCCACATGTCCTGCCTTTTTTCTTGCAACCAGTGCAGGAGCTGGCACTGGCTGTGGGTTCTTCCTCCATAGTCTCACTGGTGCCTTTGCAGAACTTATCAAAGAAGAAGATGGAGACAAAACCTGAATTACCTCTGCCTCTTACTGGCTTCAACTCTGCCTGTCACTGACCTCCACGCCAAGGATGGTTGCAGACTCTCTGAAGCAAGGATCTGGCTTCTTCTAGCTGCTCCACACTGCCAAAGCCCATCCAGCTGGATTTCACAGTCTACAACTTCCTTTAGATTGAGATACTGGAGGGTTCTCCCTGGCTCCACCAACAAGATCTCCATACATGCTCCAAGGCTATGGATCCTGACTGCCATGCAAGCCTCTGACAGTCTCTTGACTCGGCGGCCTAGGCTATCTCAAGAGGAAATGGCAGGCATCAAATCTTGGACCACCTTGCAGTGGTTTAACATGGGTTGCCAGCACCAGGGGGCGTGTGGAAGGGTGGGAGGGAGGGAAACGGATGGAGTACATATGTTCATTCAACTACATAACAGTGTCCACGTCACCTAAGAAATTGCAGCTACAGACTTAAGAAAAGAAGAGTTGTTCCATTGTCTGGAGAGGTCACTTCCTGGTTCAACAGAGCCCAACGAAGGAAGTATGCAGCTGTGCTGAGGCAGCACTGGGTGTTAAAATTTTGTGCTCCTAACAATTTTGCACCCGAGGCAACAGCCCTGTGGTCCTCCCATGCTATGCCACTGCTATTGTGCTTGCTCTTGGCAATCAGACTGGGTTTTTTAAAGCCTGCCAGCTTGATTACCAGAGATTTACCAGGAATCTTTAGCTGTGATCTATGCTAGAATGGACGAGGCCAGCATTGAAGCAGTTCTGGGCACCACAGTTCAAGAAGGACACTGACAAACTGGAACGGGTCCAGAGGAGGGCAACCAAAATGGTCAAAGGCCTGGAAACGATGCATTATGAGGAACGGCTAAGGGAGCTGGGCATGTTTAGCCTGAAGAAGAGGAGGTTAAGGGGTGATATGATAGCCATGTTCAAATATATAAAGGATGTCACATAGAGGAGGGAGAAAGGTTGTTTTCTGCTGCTCCAGAGAAGCGGACACGGAGCAATGGATCCAAACTACAAGAAAGAAGATTCCACCTAAACATTAGGAAGAACTTCCTGACAGTAAGAGCTGTTCAACAGTGGAATTTGCTGCCAAGGAGTGTGGTGGAGTCTCCTTCTTTGGAGGTCTTTAAGCAGAGGCTTGACAACCATATGTCAGGAGTGCTCTGATGGTGTTTCCTGCTTGGCAGGGGGTTGGACTCGATGGCCCTTGTGGTCTCTTCCAACTCTATGATTCTATGATTCTATGAATAATTTGAAATTTGCCTGCATCTGAAAAAATGCCCATTTGCAGCTGAACTTATTTCCAAACCCAGAAGCAGCCCTTCCCTTCCCCTTGAAGCAGATATTCCCTTATTGTAGTGCATTCAAAGTGGCCATGGCAGATGTTTTCTCTTGGCAATACAAACCTAAGAGCTGTGACAATTGTGCAGACTCCTTGCTCCCGTTCCTAAACAGGCATCAGCATGGGGTCGGAAGGCTGCTCCAGCTGTCACAAGTGTTATTTTTTGCACTGCAGTTAAAAGCTGCTGCTGCTCCCTCCCTGCAATGTCAAGGCAAACACTGGTGCTTCTCATCACGGAAGTCGCTCGGGAATCTCCAAGCAATGATTTTCAGAAAGAACAGATAAAGAGGTTACAGGTTGCCCTGTCGGTTTCCACATGGTGCTTTTCACAGGAAGGGTTTTTATACTGTGCCGTGTCCTGAATCTGCCATCCAGAACTCTCTCCGGTGCTCAGGGGGATAATTTGTGCTAATCTTCCTGTGCTCCAGAAAACTGCCCTTGATCTCCCAGGGGCGGCGGCGTCTCTCTGGCTACACAGGAGACTTGCCTGCAGCTCAGACTTCGGTGCGGCTGTGAAGCCTACTCACTTCTCAAGAAGTTGCCGAATGCCCGCTTTGGGTTTATGAAATGGACACACACACACTTGAAAAGCTGCTGGCATTTCCCCTTGACTCCGGCGGTCTAAGTGTGTGTATGCACACATATGCATCCATGTGTGTATAGAGAGAAGGCAAAAAGTTGCAGTCTTATAACAACTTAGCTGTAAGTGGAGATGAGGGATAAATCCAATTCTGATTGCAACAATATGTCAGCCAAATCGCAGCCATCCTTCGAAATTTGGACTTGTCTGAATTTTGCAATGTAGCCTAGCTATGTAAACTATACCACCCCCCAAAAATGAATATACTGGGATAAAGCGTGCATCAAAACGCATCTACTGGTGAAAATAGCATACAGCATTTAACTATGTCAGGGGAAGTGGTATTGCAAAAATGTGTCAATTAGGCAAAATTGCATGCAAAAGTTTGAATATTCGAAGAACTCTGCACTAAAAATGCTGCCGAATTTTCGTGATTACTTTTTTTTTAATGTAAGCTGATATGGAAATGTAGAGGACTGAACTTAGGAATGGAAAAATGAGAATCTGCAACTGACATATTTGCCCATCCCTACTAATGAGTAAGCTCTACTGAACTGAATATGGGACTTCCTTCTGCATAGACATTATAGAATTGTGTCATAAGGAAATATCTACCTTGCCCTACAGGAGATTTACAGCACAAGGATATGCACGTCTACACAAAGTAAACACCACCTAGTTTAATGGGACTTACTCCTAAGTGAGCAGGAACAGGATCGCAGCCATAAACTGCATTAATCATCATATTTATGTGCTTATTTGATTACCTCCTACCCCCCCCCCATTTGACACCACCATCAATAAACCATTTGGGTACAGTGATGAGATCTCATATACTGAAAAGTCTTCAAATTGTTGATTCAGACAGGCCATAAGGTTGAATCAACACTTGAATTCTTCAAAAAAAATAAAATCAAGAGAAACTATACCACTAGTCAAACCCAACAAACACATATACCACCACCAAATCATCCCAAAGGAAATATACTTAGGTGTGATGCTGAAAGCTGCTTGGCTGCCTCGTAGCTAACCTAAAAAATAAATGGCAGCTTATATAGAATGCCACAACTCCCAGTCATGAGAACAGAGGACAATCTCAGCTTTCTTGAGTCCTGTCTTCCACCTCTTAGCTCCAGCAGAGCTGGATCTGATTCCTGGCTGGTGTGTTAGTTACAAGCAACTATATAAGAAAACGTTCCCCAGCCGGGGAGGGTTGGCCTCTAGATGTTCTGGACTACAATTCCCAGCAGCCCAAGGATCATCATACAGCCATGTTGGCTGATAGGAATTGCCGTCTTGAAATCTGGACAGCACCAAGTTGGAGAAGGCTGATACAGTATCTCCATTTTTATCCAACAACCAAATTTTTCATCTTGTCCCAAATATCCCATTCAAGCGAATGAGTCTTCAGCTCAGTTTCACCATGTGGATAGCAGTAGTACTTGCCGACAATAGAAAATTATTTGGGGGCGGGGGGAATCAGAACACTTTATATACTTTGTCTTGGACAATCCTGTAAAGCCAGTATTATAATTCCCAAATTGCAGGTGGAGACTGAGAGGGCAATGTGGAGACTGAGAGAGACCCAAAAATGTCCATGGGGGGTGGGGCTTTCCTAGTTCATAGTTCTTGAGCTGTGATTCTGAGCACACTTCCATGGGATAAAACAAGCCAAGGAGCTGACTGAAATGTGACCTTCTTCATTGAGAGCAGTGTCTCTCTCGCGATGTACAAATCAATGTTCTTTTTTTGTATTTATTTATTTATTTTCGGGGAAAAATAAAATTTATTGGATTTTTACATGCAATAATAAATGAGCAGTGCAACGCCTCCACCCCCCAAGCCTAATACAGAGATCAAGTTGTACACTGACATGAGCAATTCTTATCGATTCATGTCAGTTATTCAAATGCCCAGTATCGTTATGTCTCAGGGACAGGACAAACATTGTTTTATCTGTTACAGGCAGTTGTTCCCCAGGAAAAATACTGCTTTGGAGAGTGCATCTTTAAGACTTAGTTTCATCTGTGTATTGAATAAACGGCCACGCTACTGCATAAAATTTGTCCGGTATTTATTACCGGGAGCATGGCGATAGAACTCCCTCCTAGCTGAAATCAGAGACGCCTTCTCTCTCTCGAGCTTTAGATCTTGCCTTTTCAGCAGACATTTTAAGGATTTGTTTCCCTCATTTTTATGATTAATTCTAACTGATTTTAACCTTCGTATGCTTTTCGTCATTTTTGTGTACTCCGCTGATAGAGACGTCAGCAATTAAGCAGTATGTAACGACCTTCAATCAATGAATCAATCCCTTTTGAGTAATCAGTTATTTCTCAGCAATAGCCCATGAAAGGTGCTTCATAGAATTGTAGAGTTGGAAGGGACCACGAGAGTCATCTAGTCCAACCCCCTGCAATGCAGGGATCTTTTGCCCAATGCAGGACTCGAACCCACAACCCTTAGTCCTCATATCAGCATTTAGGCCTTTGAAGAGGGACAGTGAAAACAACTGGGGTGAGATATCTATGGTCCCTTGAATTGTTTTGGGTACTTCGGGGGACACCAGTCTGCCAAATGCCTTTAATAATGCTAA